TTTGAGAATAAATTATCATTATTATATTATTATTACATCTGAGAAACATTGTGAAAGGCGCAGTACAAATCCAGCTTTACTGCACTATTTTGCATTTCGCAGACATTACAACTGCAAATTTCCCATTCCTTACTAGATTTACTGTCTGCCTTTACCTCTTATTCCCGTTCACGTAATGACTGTCACTTTCGAATCAGTCATTTATTTCTAATTAATTGTCACCATTTATCCTACTCCCTGTTTTCTGCCTTAAGTAGTCTCTTATGACCTGTGATAACCAGCTAATCACTCCTCACTAGCATAACATCATCTCAGTTCAGTAACTCAATCGCTGTACAATTAAGATCGCTGAAGCATTTAAATGTATGTCAAATCCACTAGGGCAACTGTAGTGAATTGCTTTGGCTCATACTGCACTGGTTTTAAACATCATGTTTCTTATACTTCTCAATATGATATATAGATCTCTTGGAAACAATAGAGGAACAGGGAACGAAATAGATGATAGGTATGAAAAAGTTCAACAATCACACATTTGAACATGATTTACTGTACACTGGTTGAAACAGCCCTGCCCGAAGTCTGTCATTTTATCAGTTATGTAACTTACAATAATACTGCTACAATTATAATAATCAGATTTGTAATAATAATAATCATTTATTCTCTGCAGCGTAGGTAAATGAGGCATGCCAATTTACAAACAACATCAAAATGTAGAGTTAGTGAATTGTTTCTGTTCAGTCAACCGCTTGTCATTTATGTGTACACTTAAACTTTCATTTCATTGACCACTTTACCTAAATGATCCAACTGGTTGTAAATAAGATATAAAAGCCATCTCCTTACAACCTTTCGTGTCCAGCAGCAGACAACTGCTGATGCCCCCCCGGTGGAAGCAGAAGTATGATTTGTAAGTAAAAGAAAATCACCATGACAACAATAATAATAATGTATCATGAAATAATTTCCTGTTCACCCAAAAATTCATCGACTTTCCTTTTTCAGGATTGCTATAAAGCTACTGCGAAGCCACCTAATATGTCAGTGAATTGGAAAACCTGACAACAAGTAAAGGGTTAGTATGTCTACACTCCAATGTGTCAGTAATACACGAAATACCCTTCTTGAAATCTTGTCGTCGGAACGAAATGTTTATAGGCGACAAGTTGTGTAAACAATCGTATTACTCAGATTCTGACTGACTGAACACTGCAAAGGTCTAATGTGTGTGAGAACACTCAATGATTTTGTGATTGTTAAAACGGCCGCTCTCAGCGTATTAGCACGGATCATTTCTGGCCACAGTGAAGAGTCTTAATTTAAATAATGCATTTTCTCCTATGCTAACATGGCTTAGAATAATCTTTGAGATTCTTTCACACTTTTAGGTAAAGCGCTAGTCTATAGGGGTTCTATTCAGTGGCTAAAATGTTTAAAAATTACCATTTTGCGGAGAGATTTGGTGGATCATCATCACCAATAGTTAAGACTGAAAAATCGAGAAAAATACATCTCTTGCTTTGCAAGAGTGGCACTTCATTCTGGGGACCAATATGTTCATTTCCTTCATCAAACACTGAAATCTATTTTCTCATAGCGCCTTTGTGCATTACTAGCTTCTTTGAACTGCATAAGTGTTTTTGCCACCAGTTTCATTGTGTTCTGCCCATTAATTCTTTTTGAGCCATAGCGTTCTAAGAAGCACGACCCTCATATCCCAAGGTTACTCCTACCTTTGTAGACCCTTTGTAGGAAATCAGTGCAAATCAAGTGAATAGATTACGACCTACAATTATTGCATTCAAAATCAAACGTAGGCTTTTTCGTGGATGACTTTAAATAGACAACTTGGAGTATTATACAATCCCTCAGTATGCCATCAATATTGACGAATTCTCGGATGCACACATTATGCGCAACTAAAATGAGAGTAGTTACATGACAGCCTCACACTCTATGATTAGATTTGTTCAATACGAAATAAATAAATACTGGGCACTGGTAGAATCTGGTCTGTGCAAGAAGTGGACATGTTTGAGTCATTCCTGTTCGATGAGTATTATGTGTACTAATTATTTCACGAACTCATCCTACTTGTTCGGTAGGTTTTCAGTACCCTTCAACAAGCAATCGATTGTCTGGATTTGAAACACATTTGTTTCTTCGTTCCGTTTGTCTGAATAAAACCTAATACAAATAGACAAAAGCCTATCTACATGGGGTATTTTGCGAACACGAGATCCCTGCATCTTCCTCGGTTGTGTCCATGTTCTTAAAAGTCCACAAATGGACTAGTTAGTTCCAGAATTGATTTTACCTGATCCTTGTTTTTTATGATCTCACAACCGCAAATACAAAGCTACATGAATTTCACACCACACAGAACCGAATCGACCATATCTGTATCAACAAAAAGTTCAGAAGGACCATGGAGGATGTGAGATCCAAGGGAAGAGCTAATATAGCCTCAGATCACCGCTCGAGAAGCACTGGAAAATCGTGTGAACAATACCAAAACAATTGAATACGTTGTTTCTTCGGGATACTGGAAAGCTCAGCAAATTGAAAATATCCTCAAAAATAGTTTTCAGGCTTTCCACGGTCTACCTGATGGAAAGGAAACAATCACGGATAAAAATGGGAAAGAGATTAAGGAGGCGATCGTTTCAGCCTGTCTGGAGGTTCTGGGCCACAAAAACCACCATCACAAGGAATAGATCTTTGTCGTTACTCTTGACAAAATTCAGGAAAGGAGGAACAAGAAGGCAGAAATCAACATCAGCCAAACAAGAAAGCCGAGAGAGTCAAGGCGCAAGCTGAATACACAGAAACAAACAAGCAGGTGAAGGGGGGGTATCGGAGCCGACAAATGTAAATATGTGGAAGATATAGCAGCGACGGCGGAAAAGGATGCAAGAGAAGGAAACTTGAGACAATTATACGATACAACTAAGAAGCTCTCTGGAAACCATCGTAAACCAGAACGACCAGTTTGAAGCAATGAAGGCTAAGCAATTAGCAACTTGGAATAACAGCGAAACAGGTGGGTAGAGCACTTTAAGGCCCTTTGAATCGACTATCCCCACTGAACCCACCCAATATCGAGACGGCATCCTCTCAATCAATCTTTGCCCACCAACAATCGAAGAGATTAGTATAGCCGTCAGACCAATCAAGGGCGGCAAAGTAGCGGGAACAGATGACACTTCAGTAGAGCCAATGTAAGCAGACCTCGCAGCAAACGAAAAAACATTCCACATTCTCTTCAAAGGGAATTAGGAAGAAGAAAGTACAAACAGACTGGAAAGAAGGATACCTCATCAAAATACCAAAGAAAGGCGGTCTCAGCAAGTGTGAGAACTACAAAGGCATCACTCCTCTCTCAACACCAGGCAAAGTATTCAGCAGGGTACTTCATAGACGCCCAACTTCGAGATCAACAGACTGCATATCATAAGTATCGATCGGATACCGAACAAATTGCAACATTTCGGATCATTTTGGAACGATCGATTGAATGAAACTCACCACTGTACACCAATTTCATCGAATGTGAGAAAGTATCTGATGACTTGGACAGGAAAACACTGTGAAGGCTTCTTTGACACTACGGCGTACCTGAGAAGATAGTCAACATCATCCGAAATTCCTACGATGGATTAAATTGCAAAATCGTGCTCAGAGGACAGCTGGGAGACCCGATCGATTTTCAGTCTGAGCTCAGGCAAGGCTGCCTACACTCCCCCTTTTTCCTTCTCCTGGTGAAAGACTGGATTGTGAAGAGATCAACATCTGGAGGAAAGCACGGCATGCAATGGAAAGCCAGGATGCAGCCGGACTATCTGAACTTCCGTAGATGATCTGGCTCTTCTCTTGCACACGCAACGACAAATGCAAGAGAAGACGACCAGTATAGCAGCATCCTCAGCACCAACAGGTCCCAATAAAATTAAAAAGAAAAAGAAACATTTTCCGATACAACACAACACGAGCTAATCAAATCTCTTCAGTGAGATTCCTTGAAGGACGCATAGCCTTTACATATCTGGGCAGCATCATTGACGAACAAGGTGGATCTGTGAAGGCGTAAAATGGCAAAGCAAGGGCTTCATTTCTACAACCCAACATCTGGAACCCGAAACAACTACCAATCAACACCAAAATCAGAATTTTCAATACTAATGTCAAGGCAGTAAGTGGCGGAAACGTGGAGAACTACGAAAGCCATCATCAAGAAGATACTAGTATTTATTAACCGTTGTCTGCGCAAAACACTTTAGATCCGTTGGCCAGACATCATAAACAACAACCTACCGTGGGAGAGAGCAAACCACGTTCCAGTGGGGGAGGAAATCATGAAGAAGCAATGGAAGTCGATAAGACACACATTAGGGAATGCACCCAAGACCTCACCTGGGATCCTCAAGGCCAACAGAAAAGAGGAAGTCTTAGGATTATATAAAGCCAAAAAATGGAGACAGGCATGAATATAATGAACAAAAATTGAACGAAAATGGGAAGGGAAGCCTGGGACAAAGCAGGCTGTCGGCGGTCTATGTTCTAATGAGGGTTAACAGGCTTAAGTAAGAAGGTAATATGATAGAGCTTTGAATACGGTACATTCGTCGTCTTATGTTCGTTTTTTCACATCCGAATATAATAAGGTTGCAACCAAGGAACCTCCTTTCCATTAATTTTATAACTTTTGGGTCTGGCAACCCAACTACTCAATAACAAATGCATTCATGTGCGTAAGATATTTTCATCCAGTTGGCAATCAAATTTACTAGGTTTAGTGCATTTCATATATCAGAGTGAACACATTGGCAGAAGCCGACAACTCAGAATCCTACTGTGACATCAGGGATCTAGCTTTTAAAAAAGCATTCTGATTACATTGGATTTTAGAACCGTACCGAAAGAACAGGAATCGAGCGCAAAGAAATCAAATTGGTTTACACTAGCACGTGAAAAAGATATTGGATATTGAATTGGATACTGGAATGACCTTACGGCAATTTGAAGTTCGGTGACCTTCACATTGCTTCATCATGAGCGAGCGATACAGTTTCTCCCTAACTACATTCAGGTGTGTAAATATTTTTATAAGTCCACTAAGACTTTAGTCCATCTGGAAAGCTTGTACAAATAGAATATGCATTGAAAGCAGTTGAATCTGGAGCTCCATCTGTCGGTATACGTGCCGCTAATGGGGTTGTGCTTGCTGCAGTAAAGAAGTTCACTTCGAAACTTATGGATGAGTCCACAGTTTCAAAAATTGAACAAGTCACAGACAGAATAGGAATAGTTTATAGTGGTCTGTCGCCGGATTATCGTGTGCTGGTTAAACAGGCCCGAAAGTCTTCACAGGCATATCAGCTGGCGTATGGTGAACCTATATCTCCGGAACAGCTAGTTATCCGGATAGCTGCTTTGATGCAAGAATATACACAGTCTGGGTGGGTTTTAAATCCAATACTATTTACGAATGCATATCGATAAGATTTTTTGATTGGCTAATTAACTTATTACGTTTATGCTGCATATAGAATTATATGCAGTATTTAGTTATATTTATCAGAAAAATATTCAGCTTTTAATATCGTTCCCTATGACCATATCTGTGTCACTGAAATAATTACCTTGTTTGATTTCCATTCGAATATTCTTTAATTTTAACTTGATAACTAAATGAATTCACTGCTTTAGATTATCGAGATTTTGCTCGATCATTTTTAGGGTGTAGACTTTTTACGGGATTACCATTCAAGTGATTAGCTCAGAATAGGAACTAATAACGATTCTCTCTTGATGCTTAGGGCTAGAGTCAACCGTCGGCCTAGACCTATGTTTCATGCTAAGTAGCGCTTGCAAATGAAGTGTATCGTCAATCTCAAGGTACTACAAGATCTATAACTCTATTAATGAGCTATTTAGATTACTTTTATGTTCTTTATTTTGTTCATAATATTTTATTTTTGAAATTAAAAAGTCCTTTAAACTGATCATCATGAGCATCTACAGTCATGCATTCAAATTATTAAAAATCAAATCTTATAAATTTAGTTTAGTCTGCGGAAAAAAAAATAAGTTTGTCATTGTTGTGCTGACCAGTATGTTGATATTTAATCAGTCTGTAAACATACAAAACTAATAGTCAGTCAGTCAGTCAGATGCAACTTAGAACTTTCGTACGTAAGTACATCAGTTCATGTCGCCATACCACATCAGCACAGAGATGTAATTGTCAATTCAAATCCAGTAGTAGTAGAGGTAGTAAAGGTATTAGAAGTAATCGGAGAGGTTAGAATTAGATATTATTCAAGAAGTGTGATTTAAGGAGAAAAGTTTAGAAAATGAAAGCTAGAGTTGTTGAAGAATCCAGAAGATTAGGATTTGAGAAAACACAAAGCATAAATGCACCTGCGCCATTGCGAACGATTTTGAGGCATGTCATTCAGTGTCTCTGACCATCGATTATTATCATCTCGCAGACCCCAACCACATAGTCAACAATTACCGACATGGCTAAGTCCACTCGTCAATGACTTCATGGATTTCTGCCATGTTTTGATTTGGCCGCCCCTAACTTTCTTCCAACCTATTCCTACACTACAAAACAAAGCTCTTCGAGGCAGTTGGTGGTTGGGCATACGCAACACATTAATTATCAATATGACTGTAAAAGCTGGCGAGAATTTATTGAATAGAATATTCACGAATGCTCAACCACCGAATTCATCGGCAAGCGATGATGCCTGGTGTAGAGGTAGGCTAGAGGAAAGCTAGGGGCTGCCCTACCAAATTATGTCACATATCAATGAAACCATGTTGGTAGGTGTAAACCACCTGGTTGGGGTCCGCAGGATGATAATAACCAATAGTTGGAAACTTTGAATGACATGGCTCAAAATCGTTTGCAATCACACAAGTGCATCCATTATTTGTCTCCCTTCAAATTCTAATTTGAATTCTTCATGATCGTTTTTTATTCTTTATTTTAATTAATCCCTCTGGATTATACCTCGAGAATAATATCTTCCATCACTAATCTTTATGATTACTGCTAATACTTCTCCTACCTCTACTACTATGGGATTTGAATCGACAATTCCATTTCTCTCTTTGTTTATGTGATATGGCAACCTGGACTAATGTCAAGTCAAGTCAAGTCAATTACAACGTAGAACCTCGTACATGAGTACATCAGTTCAGGTTGCAATACCACATTAGCACAGAGACGCAACTGTCAGTTCAAATCCCAAAGTGGTGGAGATAGTAGAAGATATGATTCAAGAAGTATAAATCAGTGAGATAACTTTGGAAAATATGAAAGAGGTGATGACGAATTCAGAAGATTAGAATTCAAGAGAAAACACAACGAGTAGATGCACCTGCACCATTGCAAACGATTTTGAGTCATATACGTACGTCAGTCAGTCAGTCAGATGCAACGTAGAACTTCGTACGTAAGTACATCAGTTCATGTCGCCATACCACATCAGCACACAGATGTAATTGTCAATTCAAATCGAATAGTAGAACAGGTAGTAAAGGTATTAGAAGTAATCGGAGAGGTTAGGATTAGAAGATATTATTCGAGAAGTATGGTTCTGTGAGAAAAGTTTAGAAAGTCAAAACTAGAGATGTTGAAGAATCCAGAAGATTAGGATTTAAGAGAGAACACAAAGAATAAATGCACCGGCACCATTGCGAACGATTTTGAGCCATGTCATTCAAGGTCTCTAACCATCGATTATTATTATTACCACCCTACACCCACACATACCTCTCTTCTCTCCACAACTAACTCTACTCACATTCCCTTATCTGACTGCACCGCTAATGCAAACGATGCGAGTTCACGAAACGTCATTCCTGGTCTCTTGAAACCTCATTCTAGTCTACATGTTGGAGCATCTAATGTACGGACATTGTGTCAAATAGGGCAACAGGCATCATTAGCTAGGACTTTAGAATCTCGTGCCATCGAGGTATGCTGCGTCTCGGAAACGCGCATACAGGATCCTAGTGAAATCATTAATCTGATTTCACCTTATCAAAATAAAGAAGCAACCCGTATTTATTCTTCTATGAATATTTCTTTACTATATAGATTACATGTGTGACGTTTTAGTTTTACAAAGTATTTTTCTTTGCATGCATTGGCTATACTTACCAACTTACTTATGCCTGTTACTCGCAATAAAGCATAGGCCACCTACCAGTTTTCTCCAACCAACTCTGTCCTGGGCTTCCCTTTCCAGTTTTTGTTCATTCTTCTCATGTCCTCCTCTATTTCTCGGCGTAATGTATCCCTTGGCCTTCCTTTGACCTTGATAGTTCCATGTGAAGGCTTGTCTTGTTGTGATGACACAGTTCAGTGCTTTTCACAATGTGTGTGTCCTATCCACCAATTCCACCGCTTCTTCTTAATTTCCTCCTCCACTGGAAGAATCTGGTTTGTTCTCTTCCACAGTAAGTTGTTGTATTGGCTATAAACAAAATAAAATAATCCCTTTTTTTATTCAATCATTCTACTTTGTTTCTTTCTTTCCTAATTTTCACAGTGGTGTTCGCCCATTCGGTGTTTCTTTATTAGTTGCAGGATGGGATCAAGATCTGCATCGACCATTTCTCTATCAATGTGATCCTTCTGTAAGTTTTAATGTACTACTATCAAAAGTAAATAATGAATATTCATGTTTTTTTTTTCGAGAGAAAATGAAACATTATTAATTCATAAAATTTCTGGGAAATTAAACAAAAGCCTACTACAAACTATAATCTCTTATCGAAATTAAAACAAAGTTGCTGAATAAAATGATGAATATCCTTAAGAACTTATGAAAGATAAGAACTTGAACGGAAGGATAAACAATGTATTCATTTATATTATTCTAAACTATTTAAAGTTTATGAAACTAACTGCTCATATTTTTTTTGAAAAAAAGAAATCACATTCCAGAATTGAGCACTTTTTCAAACTGTGGATTAATAAAAATCACCAATCGCTTGAATTAGTCAGTCAGTTACAACGTAGAACTTGAGTACATGAGTACATCAGTTCAGGTTGCCATATCGCATCAGCACACAGAGACGCAACTGTCAGTTCAAATTCAATAGTGATAGAGATAGTAGAAGTATTGGCGGTAATGGAGGAGATTAGGGAGCGAAGATATGATTCGAAAAGTATGATTCAGTGCGAAAGAAAGATAGAGTTGGTGAGGAATTTAGAACGTGAGAATTTGAGAGAACACAATGAATGAATGCACCATTGCAAACAATTTTGAGTTATGTCGTTCAAGGTCGCTAACCATCAATGACTTTCGTCTCGTGGACCCCAACCATGTAGCCTACATCTACCAACATGACTCAGTCCACTTGTCAGTGACTTCATGACATGAATTAGTGTCATATCATCGGTATTTTCTTTGTTTGTGCCAAGGTAGTACGTAAGTAAGCAGGACAGAGATTGATCCAATTCAGGATGATGTTGTGGCACATTCTTTGATTGGCGCATTCTTAACCCATCAGCGTTAGTGGGTAGATTAAAGGAGACTCAAACATAATCTTGTGTAAAAATTATAAACATGTTCTCATTGTTATTACCAAAAAACCTTTCATATTCAACTTAGTTTGTCAGAATATAATAGCTATGTGTTCGAGCTGTGTCCGGGGACACTAGTTAAGCCATCACTGTACAGTATTGTAGAATACTGTGTTAAGTCATATTGTAATGAACGAGAACACAGGTGGGGCAACCAAATGGTATCTAACGAAAATTACAGAGTTACTCAGTAAAATCGGACAACCATATCGTAAATCGTTAATTTGCAAAATATCAGTCCATCCTATCGAACTGGACTGTTCCTGTTGCAAAACATCAATCCATTGTCACTCACTATTCATGCGTTTCATACAAATTCCATTGTGTTCCCCCCACTCTTCCTTTTTCTTGATCTTCCCCCATCTTCTGCTGTTGCCAGACATTACGTTGACACTCACGTCATAAACTACTTATAAGTAGCTCACACCACAATATAAGTGAGATCATCAACAACCTAATAAACAGTCGTGAAAAAAGAACCACTGTTGATCAATAACAACTCTTTATATACGCTTCTACTATAACTCTCTTCTATCTTATAATAAACACTGCAAAAAATGCACTTGTTTCTATTTGCACATTGTATTGTATGTTTTTTCATAGGGTACATATTTTCCATGGAAAGCTACTGCATTGGGACAGAATTCACAAAATGGCAAATCTTTCTTAGAAAAGAGGTAAGTGAAAATCTGGTTGTTTGAATTTTTGTGCTTGAAATTTAGCTTTTCTAACTAACTGATTGACTAGGCTTTTCATCGGCTAAATTTCATTTTCTTATGGTAAGTACACTGTCAATCACCAACTACTACTGACTAGTCGTCCTGAAATAATGAACCAATCTTCATTGTTAGACCATCAGTAGAAAACTAGAAGCATTGGACGGCCGTTTTCTTCCTGATATGGGACGACTCATCAGCGGTGCGCATCCGCAATTTCTGCTACTCGCAGGGATCGAATCTAGGAGCTTCGGTCTTGCACACGCATGCCTATAACCTCTGAACCACTGAGCCAGCATAAAACAATATTAATGTCTAACTATGATTGATTTAAGAGGTTTTGCGCAACCTCACCCATTGTCTTCTTCTGTAGTTAATACCTACCACCCGACTGGGATTGAGTTCCACAACTCTTTGAATAAAAAAATAATGATTACAGCAATGTCTATACATGTAGAGCTTATTTCAAAGACAGTGCAAGTTATAATCCTCGAATTTGCAGTGCTTCATGTCGATTGGAGAACGATGAGACTAAAAGCAGCTACCCAAGGTCTGAGGGCGAAGTCGTACTGCTGACTGTGATGGAGGGGTGTGACAGCAGTAAGGTATTTCCCTCGGACAACCAGCATCTGCAGCGATGCTGCCTTCTCACAAGGAAGGGGTGGTTAGAAAAGGTCGACCCTAAAAATGTCACACCTCACCCTACCTCACGGATTTCCGTCTCCTTGGGTAAGGGTGCCCACTAAGGGCCTTTAAGAACGGAGCTAATCCTCAAAAAACCTTTCATAAAAAGGCCGTGAGTGACCGGTCTCAAGCAGTTGTCCCTTGGACTCTGCGGTCACGCACCCAGGTCTTCAAGACCAACACTAATCTATTTTCCTTTTCAGGTTCCTCAAGAAACAACAACCTTCCACGGTGTGGGCAGTTGGGAAGTGACAACTGCCCTCATACCCGTAACAGCTTCATGTCTTTGTAAAATTCTATACAACCAAACATATTGTATTCGGCAAACATTACGTCACTGCCATAATTATTTTACACAATCACATGTTGGATGTCATTATTGTTTTGAAATAACCTTTTTTATTCTATTTTTTTTCCGATCAACATAGATATAATGAAAATTTAGAATTGGAAGATGCTACACATGCAGCTATTCTAACATTGAAAGAAAGTTTCGAAGGTCAAATGACTGAGAATAATATTGAAGTCGGTGTATGCAATGAAAATGGTTTTCGAATTTTAACATCGGATGAAGTGAAAGATTATTTAGCTGCTATACCATAACAGTTAGTATATTATCTCAAATAAAAAAATCAATTAACCAACTTCAGTTTTTGTACTAATAATCAGTCTTCTTTTTTTTGACAACAATACACATTGTTTGAGTTTTTTCTTCTCCAGACTCAATCAGTCAGTCAGTCAGATGCAACGTAGAACTTCGTACGTACGTACGTACATCAGTTCATGTCGCCATACCCCGCATATTAGCACAGAGATGTAATTGTCAATTCAAATCCAATATTAGTAGAAGAGGTGGTAAAGGTATTAGAAGTAATCGGAGAGGTTAGAATTAGAAGATATTATTCAAGAAGTATGATTCAGTGAGATAAATTAAGAAAGTAAAAACTAGAGGTGTTGAAGAACTCAGAAGATTAGGATTTAAGAGAGAACATAAAGCATAAATGCACCGGCGCCATTGCGAACGATTTTGAGCCATGTCATTCAAGGTCTCTAACCATCGATTATATTATCATCTCGCGGACCCCAACCACGTAGTCGACAATTACCGAAATGACTAAGTCCACTCGTCAATGACTTCATGGATTTGTGCCATGTTTTGGTTTGGCCGCCCCTAGCTCTCTTCCAACCTCCGCCTACACTACAAAACAAAGCTCGTCTAGGCAGTCGGTGGTTAGGCATACGCAACACATCCCAACCACCTCAACTGATGAAGTGTCACTACTGAGCCTACTGATCTGCCACTTCTCCAGACTAATTGTATACATTGATTGCTTACTTGCTTACGCCTGTTACCCTTAATAGAGAAGCATAGATGGCCAACTAGTGTATTTTAAGTCAGTTAGTTTTCTACGGGATGGGGTCGCCGCTGATCCCATGCATACTCAATCCTACTGCTTTATAAGGGCTTAAGACAGGAGGAAACCTCAGAGAGGGGCTTCAGGCGGATTTGTGCACATCGGTTAAGGTCATAATAAGTATGCATTTCGATCGATTTCAGTGTGTAAAACATTGAAGTTGGCAATCAATTGCAACGTAGATCTTCGTACGTACGTACATCAGTTCATGTTGCCATACCACATCAGCACAGAGATATAATTGTCAATTCAAATCCAATAGTAGTAGAGGTGGTAATGGTATTAGCTGTAATCGGAGAGGTTAAGATAAGAAGATATTATTCAAGAAGTAGAAGTTAGAGAAATAGACTTATAAAGATGAAGTGACGAAGAATTAAAAAGTTTAGGATTTAAGAGAACACAAAGAATAAATGCACCGGCGCCATTGCGAACGATTTCGAGCCATGTCATTCAGGGTCTCTAACCATCGATTATTCTCATCTCACGAACTCCAACCAGGTAGTCGACATCTGCCGACATGACTCAGTCCACTTATCAGTGACTTCATGGATACATGAAAGTTATGACAAACTCCAACAAATTTTAAACAGTCAGCTACAGCGTAGAACTTCGTACGTATGCATATTAGTTCAGGTTTCCATACCACACTAAGACAGGGAGATGGAATTATCAATTCATATCCTCTAGTAATAGTGAGCTATGTTTTGTGGTGTAAGAGTAGATTGGAAGAAAGTTAGGGGCAGTCAAACCAAAACATGGCAGAAATGTATGAAGTCACTGACAAGTGGACTGAGTCATGTTGGTAGATGTAGGCTATCTGGTTGGGGTCCGCGAGATGAAACTCAACAATGGTTAGAGACCTTAAACGACATGGCTCAGAATCGTTTCCAATGGCGCACATGCATCCATTCGTTGTGCTCTCTCTAATTCTAACCTGAATTCCTCATAATCTCTATCTTTTTCCTAAATTTATCTCACTGAATTATACTTTTCGAATCATATCTTCGCTCCCTAATCTTCTCCATTGCTGCTAATAATTCTACTATCGCTATCACTCTTGGATTTGAACTGACAGTTATGTCTCTGTGCTGACGTGGTATGGCAACCTGAACTTATGTACGAAGTTCTGCGTTGTATCTATCTGTCTAGTAATAATGGTAGTAGAAGTATAAGCAGTAATCAAAAAGATCAATGGTCGAAGTATCATTCAAGAGGTATAATCCATTGAAATAAACTAACAAGAGAATGATAAGGAATTCAGATTAGAATTTGAAAGAAGACAAGATGAATACACTCACACCATTGCAATCGATTTTGAGCCATGTCATTCAAGGTTTCCAACCATCGGTTATTACTGTCTTGTGGACTGCAACTAGGTAGTATACACCTGACAACATGGCTGTTCATTTGTCAGTAACTTCATGGATGAGTTTTGGTTATTATTCCAAAATGCCTCAGAGTAGACATCACTTACACGGTCATCTCACTTTTTCTAGTTGCTCCAGAAATATATTCTTAACTTTGCTAATAAGTTTTTTCTTTTTCCTACATCTAGTAGAACGCAGACAAACATGTGCTCGTATTAGAGCATGAACTGAATCTAAACAGGTGCTCCAGGACGAACGGCAGTCTCCAACGGAGCCTCTGCGAAGGTCGATTTTGAAGGTCGCCATGTCATAGGGCGTTTTTCCTTATGCTTAAAGTCAGTTTCTGCTGAAAAATAGACGGCTATCTGAGCATAGCTGCAGCAAACGGCCGCCATTATCTGTTCCTTGAGGCGCGACACCATAAGGGTCACCCAGATGTCTATCAACTGAAATCACTAGCCACTGTTACCATATCAGAATCCTCAACTTTCTGTAAAACTCGTCTGAGCTGATGTCATTGGGAGCGTAGGCAAGGAAAACGGTGAGTATCTCTATCCTTACGAGTTCTTACCGCGCATAAGTGAATATCTACTGGGATCCAATCTAAGAGAGCTAGTTCTGCCACAGAACCATATGTTACTGCTATCTCTATGACTAAGTATGTAGTGAAGGAGAACACAGGTGAGGGCAACCGAATTGTATTTACCGAAAATTACAGAGTTACTCAGTAAATTCGGAAAACCATATCGTAAACGGTTAATTTGCAAATCTTCAATCCATTGTCTGACATTTCACTTATTCATGCGTTTCATACAAATTCCATTGTGTTCCCACTCTTCCTTTCTTGATCATCCCCCATCTTCTGCTGCCAGACATTACGTTTACACTCGCGTCATATACTACTTATAAGTAGCGCACACCACAAGTATTGTATTTTAAATGATTTATGTTATCCTGTTGTTGATGCTTTTAAATGAAATTTAAGCCAGCCGTGGTTAGCATATAAACATCCTTTGTGTATTATATCACTACAGTCATTATGACAAAAATTTAAATACAGTAGAAATAAAATGTGGTTAACACAGTCCAAGACGCGCGTCTCATCCCGTTCGAAACTCATCAGCTGGATGCTTGCTTTGCTATTTGTTTTCGCCTAACATCACGTTATCCACTGAGTTACTCAGTAGCTAAATCACAAAAGTTCTTTAACACAAGGATTTACTTTGAGAGCAATTATGTCTCGTCATTTAACAACAATTTCAAAATAGAAATTTCTTTACTGATTTCAACTTTTTTTTACTTTATCAACCCCATAACATACATCATGGTTATATCTAGTTGTATTTTAAATTCTGCAGCAGTAGGTATTAACATACATAAACGGAAAAGCAATATTCTCCGATGCAACACAACATGCACCTGGTTGTTTTGGTTGTGTAGCTTTCATTGTTCTCCTTCTGAACAACATCATCAGCACAAACTTCAGATAGAAGCGAAGCATTCAGAATGAGAACAATGAAAGCTCCACAACCAAAACAACCAGCTCAGAGAACAAAACATCACAATCATCCACCTGAGCTACGAGTTTTCTCCACCATCTCAACAACATGCACCAACCAAATCACTATTGATGGAGATGCCTTGGAGAGGATGTTACCACCTTTACATATCTGGGCAGCATCATCGACAATCGAGGTGGGTCCGATGTAGATGTGAGGGCACGGATTGGCAAATCAACAGCTGCATTTCTACAGTTGAAATCTGGAACAACTTTCGACCAAAATCAGGATTTTCAATACAAATGTCAAAACACTTCTATTGTATGGAGCGGAAACTTGGAGAACTACCAAAGCCATCATCCAGAAGATACAAGCGTTTATTAACAGTTGTCTACGCAAAATACTTCGGATTCGTTGGCCAGACACCATCAGCAACAAGGAACTGTGGGAGAGAACAAACCAGATTCCAGCGCAGGAGGAAATCAGGAAGAAACGGTGGAAGCGGATAGGACACACACTACGAAAAGCACCTAACTACATCACAAGACAAGCCCTCACATGGAACCCTCAAGGCAAAAGGAAAAGAGGAAGGCCAAGGAACACATTACACCGAGAAATAGAGAAAGATATGAGAAGAATGAACAAACATTGGACAGAACTGGAGAGGGAAGCCGAGGACACAGTTGGTTGCAGGAAACTGGTGGGCGGCCTATGCTCCATTGGGGGTAACAGGCGTAAGTAAGTAAGCATTTTAAATTCCGCGCTAGGCGTTCCCTTAATCCTGATTGGTGGACTCGAAGCCGTCAATATATATATATATATATATATATATATATATATATATATATATATATATATATATATAGGTCGTAATTAACAGAAACAAAGTATAATACGTTAAGTTATTATTATTTACGTGCACATGTATTATACGATATCATTAATCAATTGGTCATGTGACAGAAAATAAAACAATGTGCTTATACATATATATATATACGACAAATCAAAAATCAATGGATCGAATTCTTCACAGAAAAAAACAAAATCCAAGCCAATAATAATGAACACACCTATAATTATCATTATCATTGTATCACATGACGTGATAAAAAAAAAAGTGTATCAAGAGAAGAAGAAGAGCTGTTGAACCAAATTAATGATTGGATATGATGATGAAATATGTACGTATGCGTGTATGTAGGTAGGTAAGTAGGTAAGTAGACGAAGACAGTCAGTGATGAGACAAGAAGAAAGTTCTCGATAGCCAAAAGCGTACACACACTCAAAGAAGCAGACAAAGAAGTAACACACTGCATTACCATGTTAAGCATTATTATCATTGATCGGTTTTTTTCTCTTCAGGCTGACGACTTGTAGCTGTAGCTGTAGTAGCATTCTCATCATGATCACGTCCGTTTGACGATGATTCAACGTTCTCCGCTGCATTCGCAGCCGCCGCCGCCTCCTCCTCTTCGTGTTCATGTTCTTGTTGTTCACCACGTGCATTATCTACCCATAGACCACTGTCAACGCATCGTTTCATATGATACTCCGCGTCTTGTGGATCCATACTGCATAATACCGTTTTTAATAGTTCAACATCTTTTTTCTCGAAACATTCTTGAAGATTCTTATAGAATGAATGAGAAAAAAAATTTTGTAACAACAACAGAGATAAAAAAAAAAGGAGACAAGCGAAGTGAATTATTCAACAATGATTAACTGACTGATTGATTGATATAATTAGGATGGTTATTAATTATACGTAGCAATTGTTAAAATAAATATATATATTACTGTTTGGAGATGTTAAATCCCCAGGAACTTGCTTGATATAAATATCTTTATTTATTGGATTTCATTTCATGGACCGATCAGTTGACCTTGAGATCACATTTTCCACCAAGAAATCCTTGACTGTGATTGGTTTAGTGTGACTGCCTCAAGGATGTCTCTATGGAGTATAAATAGACGCGATTTGAGTGCTTGGATTCATTGTGTGCTGGCTGGGTGTTTGTAGAATACACTTTCTACACTATATCGAGAATCCTTGCTGGTACAGTTGTGTCAAGGGATCACAGTAGCCTACCTGGACGCTGGTTCATTGTTTTGTTCTCGTTATTCGACTAAGGTGAACCCGTAAAAGTTCAAAGCGTACCTAAAGACGAGTGTAACAGTTACATCACTGAAATCATTGTTAGACCACCATTAGAAACCTAGAAGCACTAGACGACCGTTTCGTCATCCATCAGCTACAGTGTGCACCCACGACTCCTGCTACTCACAAGAGTTGAACACAGGACCATCGGTGTTGCGCGCGAATGCTTAACCACTGGGTCGGCATCCAACACAGTGTTAATGTCTATCTAACTTTGGTCAATCTAAGGGTTTTTTTGTACAACCTCACCCATTTGCCTTCGGTAGTTAGTTGTTCCAGCCTACATCCAACATGGACTGGATTCCGTTGATCAAGTCTTACTAGAACTGCGAGAATTTCTTCACGGGGCTCTTCACATTATTTATACCAATGCGTTATACTTCTTAATTCATATTTTCGATCCTTAATCTTTCCCATTACCACATTCTGCTACAACCTGTACCATCATGGAATTTGAATTAACAATTCTATCTCTGTGTGCTAATGTGGTATGCCAATTTGAACTGATGTACGTACGAAGTTCTACGTTTTTTCTGAGTGACTATGAATAATGATCGCGAACTTGTCGCGGATGCTAGATCTCTAGATATCAACTGATAGACTACACAACTTATTGTTGTAATTTATTTGTGAAAATTTGAATTCCTTATTATCGCGTTGAAATCGCCCATTATTATTATTTCTATTAGTTTGTGTTTACCACTTAGAAGGACATCAGACGTCATTAGTTAGCGATCTCTTCTAAGCTAGGGGCGAGCCAAAGTAAAACATGGCGCAAATCCATGAAGTCACTGACAATGGGATTGAGTCATGTTGGTAGGTGTCAACTCCCTGGTTGGGGGCCCCACGAGATGATAATAATCGCTGGTTAGAGACCTTGAACGACATGGCTCAAAATCGTTTTCAATGGCGCAGGCGCATTCACTCTTTATGTTCTCTCAAATCCTAATCTACTGGATTCGTCAACACCTCTACTTTTGTCTTTCTAAACTTATCTCACTGAATTACACCTCTTAAATAATATCTTCGAAACCTAATCTTCTCCATTAATGCTAATACTTCTACTACCTCTACTAATATGGGATTTGAAGTGACAATTGCATCTCTGTGTGCTAATGTCGTATGACAACCTGAACTAATGTACGTAGGTAAGAAGTTCTACGTTGTTAATGACTGACTAACTGACCTAATCACACAACATTTAAGATTTTGATTGTTTGAAATTTAATTCGCTAAAAGAAATAAAAAAGCAAACTTGTAGATTAGTTGAAAAAAGTTCAAAATACACAGCATAAGCAAATACCACTACTACTAACCGCTGGTAATGATTCGAACACTTCAACTGGATCTAGACCACCAGGACCGAGACGTTTTTGTCTTTCTTCCTGAAACAAACAGAAAATTATAAAACTAGTCATCCTTATGAATTCAATAGTGAACTACAACACACGATATCATTACTAGTGTAGTGCGCGCTATTTATAAGTAGTATATGACGTGAGTGTCAACGTAATGTCTGGCAGCAGCAGAGGATGGGGGAAGATCAAGAAATGAAGAGTGGGGGGAACACAATGGAATTTGTATGAAACGCATGAATAGTGACAATGGATTGACGATGTTTTGCAACAGGAACAGTCCAGTTCGATATGATGAACTGATAATTAGCAAATTAACGATTTACGATATGGCTTTCCAAATTTTACTGAATAACTCTGTAATTTTCGTTAAATACAATCCGGTTGCCCCACCTGTGTGCATCTCCTTCACTACACTAGCAATTAGGGGGATATGTTGGGAATGTTAAATCTCCTCAGAACTTACTTGATGAAAAGGACCTAAATTTTTTTTTAATTTTAATCTGAAATTTTGAATTTCCATGTTTTCTCGCCAGTTGACCTACACAGCTTACATTTTCCACTTGGAAAATCTTTGACTGCTATTAGTTGATAGATTGATTATTTTAGTAGGCTGTTTTTGTGGCTCTCCCAAGGGCGTCTGTATCATAAGCTTGATTTGTGTGCTTAGCAACCTCGTATTTTCTGGGCGCTATAGCCTTATCAAGAATTCAAGTTAACCGGACCGGGGACAAATGGATTAGTATAGCCTATTGTATCACTGAGTCAGTATTACTCTTCGTTCGGTTTACGAAGTAAGATGAACTCGTAACAGTTTCGAACATATCAGGAGGGGAATGACTCTACCTGATTGTTTAATCAATTAAAGTAAATAGTGCATGTGACAAATTTACCATCAATCTGTTTTATATCAAGACATCATTAAAGAATTCAGCTTCCAACCAGCACAAAAAAAAGGCACAGGTTCGATCGAACCCGGTGTAAGCTACTTCACAATCTATCTTTAGTTGACTGACTGAGATACCGCCCATCAGGTGTCCAAACAAATAGAAGCAGAAGTTTTTCTTACGGAGGAACTAACTCTTCAAGCCGTTTGATCGAAAGGTCTAATCCATAAACTAACGCAAAAAATGTTACAAAATCTATTCCCCTAGATTTGGAACAATCAATTGAATGGAACTCACCACTCTACATCAACTTCATCGACTACGAGAAAGCATTCGATAGCGTGGATAGGAAAACACTGTGGAGGCTTCTTCGACACTGCGGTGTGCCTGAGAAAATAGTCAACATCATACGGAATTCTTATGATGGATTCAACTGCAAAATCGTGCATGGAGGACAGCTAACAGACTCTTTCGAGGTGAAGACCGGTGTCAGGCAAGGTTCTCTTTCTCCTGGTGATCGACTGGATTATGAAGACGTCAACATCTGGAGGGAAGCACGGTATTCAGTGGACAGCTAGGACGCAGCTGGACGGTATGGACTTCGCAGATGACCTGGCTCTTCTAACTCACACGCAACAACAAACACAAGAGAAGACGACCAGTGTAGCAGCAGCCTCTGCAGCAGTAGGTCTCAACATACATAAAGGAAAAAGCAAAATAATCTGATGCAACACTACATGCACCAACCAAATCACTCTTGATGGAGATGCCTTGGATGACGTTAACACCTCAACATATCTTGGCAGCATCATCGACGAGAAAGGTGAATCCAATGCAGATGTGAGGGCTGCATTTCTACAGTTGAAAAATATCTGGAACTCTAAACAACTTTCAACCGAAATCAAAATCAGGATTTTCAATACAAATGTCAAGACAGTTTTACTGTATGGAGCGGAAACCTGGAGAACTACCAAAGCCATCATCCAGAAGATACAAGTGTTTATTAACAGATGTCTACGCAAAATACTTCGGATTCGTTGGCCATACACAATCAGCAACAACGTACTGTGGGAGAGAACAAACCAGATTCCAGTGGAGGAGGAAATCAGGAAGAAGCGGTGGAAGTGGATAGGACACATAATACGAAAAGCATCTAACCCTCAAGGCAAAAGGAATAGTGGAAGGCCAAGAAATACATTACGCCGAGAAATAGAGAAAGATATGAGAGGAATGAACAAACATTGGACAGAACTGGAGAGGGAAGCCCAGGACAGAGTTGATTAGAGAAAACTTGTGGTCGGCCTATGCTCCATTGGGGGTAACGGGCGTAAGTAAGTAAGTAATCAGTCCCCTAGATTGATGACCAACCATATAGATTCACAGTACAGTTTTGTTTTCTTCAGATTCCTGTATGTACACCATCGATATATCGTTAAAAAGGGTAGTATACAAAGTGAAACTTATCAAACATTAGAATGGCAATGTTTGTTACCTCTTCAATTTGCATCATTGCTTCTTCTAAACGAACTTTTGCTCGAGCTCGAATTCTTTCACGAAATGCAGCAAGTTCATCATTAAAAGCTTTTTGATATTCTGGTTCAGGATTCATAAATCTTAATTAATTAAATAAGAAATACGCAATGACGTAATAAATAAAAAAGGGACACAGAAAATCAATAAAACTTCAGAGAATTGCATGTGTGTGAAAAATAGAATCTTCATAATGCTCCATGATGATTCAGTCAGTCAGTCAATCCGTTACAACGTAGAAATTCGTACGTACGTACATCAGACAGACCGACAGATACAACGCAACATAAGTACATCAGTTCAAGTTGCAATACCACATCAGCACAGAGACGCAACTGTCAGTTCAAATCCAAGAATGATAGCGATAGTAGAATTATTAGCAGCAATAGAGAAGATTAGGGAGCGAAGGTATGATTCGAAAAGTATAATTCAGTGAGATAAATAGAGAAGGAAGAAGGTAGAGATTATGAGGAATTCAGAAGGTTAGAATTAAAAAGCACACAAAGAGTGGATGCACCTGAGCCATTGCAAACGATTCTGAGTCAGGTCGTTCAAGGTCTCTAATCATCGGTGACTTTCGTCTCGCGGACCCCAACTAGGTCCAGGTAGCCTACATCTACCAACATGACTCAGTGCACTTGTCAGTGATTTCATGGATTTGTGCCATCTTTTGGTTTGGCCGCCCCTAAATTTCTTCCCACCTACTCCTACAACACAAAACACAGCTCGCCGAGGCAGTCGGTGGTTAGGCATTCGTAACACATGTCCCAACCACCTCAACTGATGAAGTTTCAATACCTCATCTATTGATCTGCCATTCTTACCGAGCACCCAATTCCTAATAACAGCATCGCTTACTCGGTTGTCCCACGGTATACGAGCAATGCTTCTAAGACATCTATGATCGAAAACCAGTAACCTACGAATATCTTCTACTCTCACTGGCCATGTTTCACAGCCATAAAGTAAGACGGAGCGAGCCACTGCACAGTACACTCGTCCTTTAGTCAGCAAATGGATATCTCGCCTAAGCCATAAGTGACGCAGGTTGGCAAAAGCTAATCGAGCCTTCTGTATCCGAGCTGAGATTTCGTCAGTTATCAGCACTGATGAGACTCCCCAGATAAGTGAAGCTGTCTACACGTTCGACTACTTCACTCCCTACCACTCGTACGTACGTATTTCTAAGATAAGTGAAGTGATTGATACACTCAGCTGCTTTATTACTTATCACTAGTTTAGGTGCCAACATAAGCCAATCCTGAAGCAACATTTTGCATTTCGATGGAAAAAACCATATCCCGAACATGTTTGCATTGTTACTTAGGGTAGTCAGAAGACTGCATTTTGTCCGCGTCTTTACCACTATTTACCCGGAAGGCAGCATCGCTACAGATGCTAGTTGTCCGAAGGAAACACTTAACTGCTATCACACCTTTAAGTCAGGAGTAAGATTTCGCCGTCAGACCTTAAGTTTCTACTTTTAGTCTTACCATTCTCCAATAGACCCGCCTGGCATGCTAGAACCTACAGGAACATATATATTTGGGTAATCACTACCACGTCAAGGTAGGGGCTACAGTTCGGATGCTCCCTAATGATTCTACTGCACTAGAATGACACATGTATATTCGATTTTAATTAGTAAAGGGAGTCAATCTAGAAATGGTCGAAAAAGAAGGCCACCTGATAACAATCAGAAATATCCTAAAGGATGAAATGAAATATACATCAAAAGTATTTGTACATATTCAAAAGCCAAAATGAACTTTCTGTTCAATTCTTGTTTTCTTGGTAACCATTCTTAGGGGGGGGAGGATTAAAGAGTATCACATTCAAATCTGGGTAATCCAACAAACAATAAAACTAATGTTAACGACGACCCAATTTATAACTGTTGACATTGTTGAGAACAAATTGACCTTAGCTACTACCTACTACCGTGGTGGTTATAGTTGCCTATCGTGATAATTCAACTATACTAGCTGAAACATATGTTCTTGTATGTTATACCATGTCAAGCAGGTCGATTGGAGAACGATGAGACTAAAAGTAGCAACTTACGATCTGAGGGTGAAATCGTACTGTTGACTGTAAAAAGAGGCGAGAGCAGTAAGTGGTTTTCCTCGGAAAACCAACATCTGCAGCAATGCTGTCTTCTCAAAAGGAAGGAAGGGGTTAGAAAACGTCAACCCTAAAAATGTCACATCTTACCTTACCTTACTGATTTTCGCATTCGGTGATAAGGCCACTAGAAGAGTGGAGCTAACACTTTACAAACTTCCTACAAAAAGGTCGTGCGTGACCAGCCTCGAGCAGTTTTCCCTTAGGTTCTACAGTTACGCTCCTAGGTTTCTCAGATCAAACGCTAATCTAACTTCCTTTTCCGGTCCCTCAAGAAACTCTTCTACGGTGTGGGCAGGCGGGAAGTGACATCCACCAGCATATCCGAAATGCAAAATGTTGCTACAGGATCGGCTAGCATTGGCACCGAAACTAGTGATAGAGAGTGAAACGGTTGGGCGTGTCCACCGCTTCATTTATCTCGAGAATACGAACGTACGGATTTCTACGTTGTAACTGACTGACTGACTGAATGATCATGGAGCATCATGAAGATTTTATTTTTCACACACATGCGATTCTCTGATTCTATTGATTTTCTGTGAATAAAGCAACAGGTATTCGAAGCGAAAGCGGTACTAGGTTCGAGTCCCGGAGTGAACACTAAATCTGAGCTGTACAATACATCCATCTGATGAAACAATCCAAAATAGGATAAAACGCGCATCCTAAATCCCACTAGCTAGCGTCAATATTGATTAAACCAAAAAAATCTTTTTCACAATATCTACTATCATCATTATTGTTAGTCGGACAATAGATTGGATTAAAGCATGATTGCGCGTTGTGTTGCAGCACGTTGATTGGCTCTTCCGCAACCAATCAGCGCTTGCCATTGACTGAGGGAACATTCTAGAAACTGCTCATGTAAGAAAACTATTTCCTTTCCAGCCGTGTGTTCTGATTTTTAGGAGAACGTGTCGAGTGAATCGGTGTCCGAAAAAAACTAAACATTAGAAGGAATCAGTCAGTCAGTCAGTTGCAACGTAGAACTTCGTACGTGTGTACATAAGTTCATGTTGCCATACCACATCAGCACAAAGACTCAAATGTCAAATCAAACCCCATTATGATTGAGATAGTAGAGGTATTAATGGTAATCAAGAAGACTAGGGTTTGAAGATATTATTCAAGAAGTATAATTCAGTGAGATTAATTTAGAAAGAGAAGAGTAGAGGTGCTGACGATTCCATAAGATTAGGATTTGAGAGAGCACAAAGAATAAATGCACTGGCGCCATTGCAAACGATTTTGAGCCATGTTCGTTCAAGGTCTCTAACTATTGGTGACCTTCGTCTCGCGGGCCCCAAACAGGTAGCCTACATCTACCAACATCACTCAGTCCACTTGTCACTGACTTCATGGATTTGTGCAATGTTTTGGTTTGGCCGCCCCTAGCTTTCTTCCAATCTACTCCTATACCACAAAACATAGCTCGTCGAGGCAGTCGGTGGTTAGGCATACGCAACACATGTCCCAACCACGTCAACTGATGAAGTTTCACTACTTCATCTATTGATTTGCCATCCTTACCTAGTACTAGTTTTCTAACGATAGCATTGCTTACTCGGTTGTCCCACGATATACGAGCAATGCTTGTAAGACATCTATGATCGAAGACTAGTAACCTACGAACATCTTCTACTCTTAACGGCCATGTTTCGCATCCATATAGGAAAACAGAGCGAACTACTGCACAGTACACTCATCCTTTAATCAGCAAACGGATATCTCGCCTACGCCATAAGTGACGCACAAGTTGGCAAAAGTCAATCGAGCTTTCCGTATCCACGCTGAGATTTCGTCAATCACCAGGCTATCCATCATCACCGATGAGACTCCCCATTAGTAGGAATAGCTAGATTGTAATCAATAGAGAAAGAGAGAGAGAGGGCGCGAGAGAGCATTATGACAAACACGTTTGTTAACTTACTTGGCAAAAAATGGTCGAATACAAGATCTTGGATCAACTTTTAATGATTTTGCCAACTCAAGCATAAACTGCATTACTATACACTGATGTGATACATGTTTCATTAATTCAAATTTCTATTGGAAAAAGAGAAAACAACACCAGTATAAAACATATTTAAAAATATGATATATTATTGACGAGGAATAATAATGATTTTGTTAGAGTTAGACATTAACACCATTGGATGCCACCGGCCTAGTGGTTCGATGACTAGGAGGCGTTTGCGTACAATACCGAAGGTCGGTGCCGGGTTCGAATCCTGCGAGGTGGTGCAGGGGTCGTGGATGCGCACTGCCTCTGATGAGTCTCATACCAGGACGAAACGGCCGTCTAAACAGTGCTTCCAGGTTTCTAATGGTGCTCTGTCTAACAATGATGATTGATTGATGATTTCAAATGTGTAAAAAAGACACAAACCTCCAAACCTCTGCCCGACAATATCTTAACAGTGCTCACTAGTGACTAGCTTCGTGTGGAAATTCTCGGAGTTCTAGTTGAGAAGACGTGACCAATGGAGTTCAACCCTGTGGGGTGTAGGCAAGTAACTACTAACGACAAATGGGTGAGGTTGCGCAAAAATCCGTAGATCAATCAGAGTTAGACATTAACATCATTGGATGCCGGCCCAATGGTCCGATGACTAGGAGGCGTTCGCGTACAATACCGAAGGTCGGTCCCGGGTTCGAATCCTGCGAGGGGATGCAGGGGTCGTGGATGGGCACTGCCACTGACGAGTCTCATACCAGGACGAAACGGCCGTCTTGCAGTGCTTCCAGGTTTCTAATAGTGCTCTGTCTAACAATGATTGGTTGATGATTTCAAATGTATATATACTTAGTCATGCCTCATAGCGCTGAATCGGTTCAATCGCCTTCTCCGCTTCGTTTCAATTAGAATGTTGAGTGTACACAGTATTCATGCTTTTACATAATTTTTAAACCATTCTTTACGTGTTTTGGAGACTTCGGTCTAGCTAAGTACTGTTTTTATCTGCGGAATTAAAGATCATCAATAGCAATTATGTCCAACAATAGTGGATTGGATATAACAAAGTTAGAAGATTTACGTGATCTATCGGGGATTTTTTCATTGATTGAAGTTGTGGGCAAAGGTACTTATGGCAATGTAAACAAGGGACGATACACTCGAACTGGCCATCAAGATAATGCCAATTACAGAAGAGGATGAAGAAGAAATTACGCTGGAAATCGATACTTTAAAAAAGCTATCGAATCATCGAAATATTGCCAGTTATTATGGTGCATTTATTGACAACTCTTCACCTCCGTGATAAAGCCAACCATTCACTCTATATAATCCTTCACCAGGACGATTACGTGCACGTACACAAAAAGCATAATTTTGTCCCGGTGTCAAACCGAATAATCGACATTCAGTCTCACGTACAGAGCATACAAATCGACTATCGTCTTGCTAACCCCAACCAAGTAACATACATCTTCTACCAACATGATTTAGTCCACTTGTCAATGACTTCATAGATTTCTGCCATGTTTTACTTTGGCCACCCTTACCTTTCTTCCAACCTACTACTACTCCTCTACACCACAAAACATAGCTCCTCATCAAGGTAGTCAGTCGGTAACACATATATGCCAACCCATCTCAATTGATGAAGCTTCACTACTAACTACATCTAACTACATCTGCCATTCTTATTATATCTAGAGTAACTTGAACAAAATTATAAAAAAATTACTAAAAGTATACACTGAATGATAATAACCAACAACTTACCTCATTCATAGCTAAATCAATACATTGAATAACAAGTTGATTCGCTGTTTCTTCACATACTAATTGTGGATGTTCCAATAGAAATGCTTGTGAATCTAATGGTCTTTGAAATAGTCCATATTTTTGTATATCTTTGCCATATTTAGCCACATGATCTTTTAAACGATTTACTGCTGCTTCTTCTGAATTCACTGTTGAATTCATATTCTCTTCATATTTTAATTTAGATGAATTAATAATCTAAAATAGATTAATTGACATTAGAAATAAAAAGGATAGTTCGTTTTATGGACTGAATAGAGGATGATTTATGTACAGATATAAGCTACTGAGATCCACGGTTTCATTCTAGCCGTATGGTCAACCTTACTAGCAGATATCACTGCTGTTTCCACAGCCTTTTTGATATCATTCCATCCTTCTTCCGGATGGGAATCGCTTAAATGGTCGCCTAACTGTCTTTCTAGTTGTTCCTGAAATATATTTTTCGCCTTATTATCATTAACTAAAACCCTAAGAGGCTTTCTTACGGTGTCTTTCCTACGCCCAGTAAGCTTCAAACAAATACGCGCTCGCACTAGGGCATGATCTGAATCTAGACATGTGCTCCAGAACGAGCGACAGTCCTCTATCGAACCCCTCCATCGGTGGCTGATGGCGATGTGATCTAGTTGAGTCCAACGTTGAGACGACTTCGGGGGTCGCCAGGTCAACAGATGCTTTTCCTTATGCCTAAAGTTAGTGTTTGCTAAGAATAGGCGGTTGTCTGAGCATATTTGCAACAGACGGTCACCATTGTCTGTTCTCTCAGTCGCTACACCATAACATCCACCTAGATGTCTTTCCTTTTCACCTAGTCTACCTACTTCAGCATTGAAGTCACTAACCATTATTACTATATCAGAGCGCCTAGCTTTTTGGAGGAGGTCCGAAAGCTTTCTGTAAAACTCATCCTTAACCTCGTCTGAACTGCATTCAGTGGGGGCATAGGCAGATACGACGAAGAGGCAACGGCGATTGTCCCTATCTTTCCGAGTCCTTACTGTCCCGTTTAGTCGCACAGCGCACAATCGACTATCTATGGGGATCCAGTCAAGGAGAGATTGTTCTGCCCTAGAACTCAATGCTATGCCTACGCCAGAAAGACCCCGGGAAGTAGCTATATATATATATATATATATATATATATATATATATATATAGGGCAAATTCAAATCACTAGGTTACACGCTTGATTCTCATCTAGCTTTAGTTTTGAGCAATCAAGAAGTATCACTTGGCCTTACGTATAACAGATTGCTTAGTGAAATCCTGTAAGCACTAGATTGAGCTCTTCATCAGTGTGTAACCACAACCCCTATGCTTGAGTTGAACCTAGGACATACGGTTTCGCGTGTCGACACTCAGTGACCGTAGCTGCTACCTTGACGTGGTGGTCGGGCTTGCCTATCGTGATGAACCAACCGAGCTATACTGGCTGGAACATATGTTCCTGCAGGTCCTACCATGCCAGGCAGGTCGATTGGAGAACGATGAGGCTAAAAGCAGCTACCCAAGGTCTGAGGGCGAAGTCGCAGCACTGCTGACTGTGATGGAGAGGTGTGACAGCAGTAAGGTGTTTCCCTCGGACAACGTTAGGGGCGGCCAAATCAAAACATGGCACAAATCCATGAAATCATTGACGAGTGGACTGAGTCATGTCGGTAATTGTCGACTACCTCTTGGTTGGGGTCCGCGAGATGATAATAATCGATGGTTAGAGACCCTGAATGACATGGCTCAAAACCGTTTGCAATGGCGCCGGTGTATTTATTCTTTGTGTTCTCTCAAATCCTAATCTTCTGGATTCTTCAACCACTCTACTTTTGACTTTCTAAACTTTTCTCACTGAATCATACTTCTTGAATAATATCTTCTAATCCTAACCTCTCCGATTACTTCTAATACTTTTACTACCTCTTCTACTTTTGGATTTGCATTGACAATTATATCTCTGTGCTGATGTGGTATGGCAACATGAACCGATGTACTTACGTACGAAGTTCAACGTTGCATCTGACTGACTGCCGACACTCAGTCTCCCATAAAAAGATCGATCTTAGACAGTTGTCCCTTGGGCTCGGCAGACACGCTCTCAGGTCGTTAAGACCAACGCTAATCCGATTTCCTTTATAAGTTCTTCAAGAAGAACCCTTCCACGATGTGGGCAGCCGGAGAGTGACATCTTCCCTCATAACCATAATAGCACATGAAACCCAAGTGGTCATAATCAAATCCTTCTTACACCTAATGACAACTCCCTTATTTCCATGAATAACCTTTCTCACGTTCCTTTATCACCTAGCATCGTTGATGTAAACGATTCGATTATGCAAAACGTTATTTCTAGCCTCCTGCAACCCAACACTAAACTACATGTTCGAACTTTTAATGCCCGTACATTGTGTCAGATAGGAGGACAACGGGATTAAAAACAATAAATCTAGCCACGAAACTAGTTTAGTTTAGTTCTATCAAATTAATAGTTGCTTATTGGGGGACAAATAATAAAAGTAGGCAGTTTTCTATCTTAGACTGTTGCATTTTTCCAGTTTACATACATGTTTTATGCCAAAAAGCTGACATTTTAAAAGAATCAATATTCAAACTATTTCAGATTATAATTACACTGCATCAAGACAATCATTATCGGCAATCAATGCGTCAAATAAAAACCAAAACAGTAGTTGTAAACTGTATGATACATAATATTTGATTTCATGTATTCTGGGATGAATTTGTGAGTTTTACTCATTCTTTATTTACTCTGTCAATCTATCTGAATTCATGGTTGTTATTATCTATATAACACTGGTATTAACTTTATTTACAAATGTGTTATGTGACCACATAGTTTAAAGCTTCATAGTCAGTAATAGATAAATATTCATGTACTTTATCACTACTTTATAGCTCTCAGATAAATGTCGATGTGTGGTGCGAGCTACTTATAAGTAGTATATGACGTGAGTGTCAACGTAATGTCTGGCAGCAGAAGAGGATGGGGGAAGATCAACAAGAAAGGAAGAGTGGGGGGAACACAATGGAATTTGTATGAAACGCATGAATAGTGAGTGACACTGGATTGATGTTTTTTTGCAACAGGAACAGTCCAGTTCGATATGATGAACTGACTGATATTTTGCAAATTAATGATTTACAATATGGTTTTCCGATTTTACTGAGTAACTCTGTAATTTTCGTTAAATACAATTCGGTTGCCCAACCTGTGTTCTCCTTCACTACATATGTTCTGCTAATCTGTATTGTTATAATATAAATGCTTTCATACGACTATGTGTGTATAGTTACTCCTAGGGAAATACTACTGACTGCCATCTCATGCAGCACAGGTGTTGTTTACGAATTCCAATTTCCAGTACTTAAACCAAGTTGATGCGTATGGAGGATCCCACTTACAGGAGTTAGAAAGTTCTGATCTCAAACCATTGGCCCATATGGACCCCCACATTCTGAGAGAATAGATAGATTATAAATCCATACTTGCTGTATGGCGTCATAGATTAATTAGATCAGAAGGTTAAAGGCTAGGGTTTGAAGAAAATCATTTGCTTCAGTTTAAGAAGCTAGGTATAGTAATACCAGTCCACTTGCAAATTGAACAATTTGTGTAGTGTATAAACATTTAAGTGCCTCTCATTGTACCTGTGATTATGTGTTTAAATAGAGAAATTTAAAAAATGTACATTCGTTGCAAATAATCGTTTCTAGGTTGTTTCTAGCCGACGGTTAGAGTTCCCAAAAAATAAGTGAATACGCTTTTCAGTCAGTCAGTCGGAAGAATTTGATTTTGACCAATTCGGTCTCGTGTGCTGTTACGGGTATGAGAGCGGTTGTCAATTCCCGGCTGCCCACACCGTGGAAAGTTGTTTCTTGAGGAACCTGAAAAGGGAGGTAGATTAGTGTTGGTCTTAGAAACCTGGGTGCGTTATCGAAGAGCCCAAGGGACAACTGCTTCAGGCCGGTCACGCACGGCCTTTTGATGAAAGGTTTTTTTAGTATTAGCTCTGCTCTTAAAAGCCCTTAGTGGGCATCCTTACCGCCGGAAACGGAAATCCATGAGGTAGGGTGAGGTGTGACATTTTTAGGGTCGACCTTTTCTAACCTCTTCGGTACTTTCTTGTGAGAAGGCAGCATCGCTGCAGATGCTGGTTGTCCGAGGGAAACACCTTACTGCTGTCACACCCCTCCATCACAGTCAGCAGTACGACTTCGCCATCAGACCTTGGGTTGCTGCTTTTAGTCTCATCGTTCTCAAATCGACCCGCCTGACATGGTAGAACCTTCAGGAACATATGTTCCAGCTAGTATAGCTCGGTTGGGTCATCACGATAGGCAAGCCCGACCACCACGTCAAGGTAGCAGCTTCGGTCGGGGAATACGCTTTTTATTCTGCTACGTTGGTTGTTCTTGCTTTAAACAAATCTTTATAAACTTGTCACTAACATATGTTTACATTTATACTAAGTAAAATCAATCAAAGTTTGCATAACTATGTAACTGTATGCAATAGCTAAAGTTAAAAGTACTACACAAGACTAACATTCACTCAATGAATTTCAGAATAGCATACATTCACATTCAACTCACAGTTGATGCTATCATGACAAACTATAGTGATAAATGCTTTGGATGAGTTGTTCTAGTTAATAACCAAAAGACCTGATCTTTTCACAAGCTAAGAATTTAAAACCATCAGTGTTTAGTGAACGAGAACACAGGTGGGGCAACCGAATCGTATTTAACGAAAATTACAGAGTTACTCAGTAAAATCGGACAACCATATCGTAAATTGTTCATTTGCAAAATATCAGTTCATCATATCGAACTGGACTGTTCCTGTTGCGAAACATCATCAATCCATTGTCACTATTCATGCGTTTCATACACAAATTCCATTGTGTTCTAACTCTTCCTTTCTTGATCTTCCCCCATCCTCTTCTGCTGCCAGACATTACGTTGACACTCACGTCATATACTACTTATAAGTAGCTCGCACCACAAGTGTTTTAATGAGACTAGATTTATTCAATGATGACACTATGTTAGCAATTCAAATGTCATGATGGGGTGTTTGACTAATCATGTTGAGGAAAAAAAATTGAGCGTAGACACAATGAACACATCCAACATCTAGCTTGCTTTGATAATAAGGGTGATGGTATTTCTAGCCCAGTGTGCAGTGCAGCGCAGTGCATCAATCATGCAGCTAGCTATACATACATACTAATAAATCGAAAATAAAACTTACCTGTCAATAATTAAAATCATACATCAATAAGTATTGTAAAGGATTTACAAAATACAAAACATTCATACACACATACATATTATCATCACTTACTGTCTTTGATTTGGAATCTTTACAAATTGTATCAATATTCAATGGTCGAAGCTAAAAAGCAAGAGGAATGATATAATAAACAAATAATTTGAAAATAAATTCAGAGACAGACAGGCAGATACAACGCAGAACTTCGTATGTTTAAGTACATCAGTTCAGGTTGCCATACCACATCAGTACAGAGACGCAAATGTCAGTTCAAATCCAACAGTGATAGCAATAATAGAAGTATTAGCAGTATTAGAGAAGATTAGAGAGCGAAGATATGATTCGAGAAGTATTATAATTCAGTAAGATAAATTTAGAAGGAGAAAGGTAGAGATTATGAGGAATTCAGAAAGTTAAAATTAGAGAGAACACAAACAGTGGATGCATCTGCGCCATCGTAAACGATTCTGAGTCATGTCGTTTAAGGTCTCTAACCATCAGTGACTATCGTCTCGCGGACCCCAACCAGATAGTCTACATCTACCAACATGACTCAGTCCACTTGTCAGTGACTTGATGGATTTCTGCCATGTTTTAGTTTGGCCGCCCTTAACTTTCTTCCAACCTATTCCTACACTGCAAAATATAGCTCGTCGAGGCAGTCGGTGGTTAGCCATACGCAACACATGTCCCAACCACCTCAACTGATGAAGTTTCACCACTTCATCTATTGATTCGCCATCCCTACCTAGAACTCATTTCCAACAAGAGCATTGCTTATACTGTTGTCCCACGATACACGAGCAATGCTTCGGAGACACCTATGATCGAAGACTAGTAACCTACGGAAGTCCTCTACTCTTAACGGCCATGTTTCGCATCCGCAGAGTAGGACGGAGCGAACTGCTGCGCAGTACACTCGTCCTTTGGTTAGCAAACGGATATCTCGCCTGCGCCATAAGTGACGCAGGTTGGCAAAAGCCAATCGAGCCTTCTTTACCCGAGCTGAGACTTCGTCAGTTACCAGGCCATCAGCAATGATGAGACTCCCCAGGTAAGTGAAGTGATCAACACGCTCGACTACTTCACTCCCTCTATCACTAGTTCAGGTGCCGATGAAACCCAATCTTGAAGCAACATTTTGCATTTCGACGGGCGGGGCGGGCAAACCGCATCCCGAATATGCTTGCATTGTTGCACTGGGGTGGTCAGAAGACTCTGCATTTTGTCAGCGTCTTCATCATCTAAGGACTATGTCATCGGCATATTCTACTAAGTCAATAAGCTAGCCTCCAGGTAAAAGCTATAATCCTACAAAATAAATAAAATTCAACACTTACTCGTTCTTTCTTTTTTATTTCAGCTTCTTTGACTGACCATTCTTTTGCTTCTAATTCAAGTTCATCAAATTTTTTTTGTAATTCTTGCAAATTATCAGATTTAGTCTATTTAATCAAAAAAAAAAATTTTTTTTTCTCACACAATCTCATACCTCTTTAGCTTGATTTAATTTACGTTTCATTTCATTATATTTTGTTAAAAATGATTTATAATTTGTTTCAAATTCTGTTCTTTCTTTTTTCCAAGCAGCATCTCTTTCTAAACGTGCTTGATGTCGCCATCGAAATAAACTAGGTGTATCGATATTTGGATGAGTATCATCTTCATCATCAGAAACCTGTATACATGCCAAAAAAAATATACACATATATAAAACAAAATTATCTTTAAACCATTTCTATACATAAATACATTTATCAATAAATGGTTGTTTAATTTACAGAGATAGACAATCAATCAGTCAGTCATATGCTGCGTATGCCTAACCACCAACTGCCTCAAGGAGCTTTGTTTTGTAGTGTAGGAATAGGTTGGAAGAAAGTTAGTGGCGGCCAAACCAAAACATGGCAGAAATCCATGAAGTCATTGACAAGTGGACTTAGCCATGTTGGTAATTGTCGACTACCTGGTTGGGGTCCGCGAGATGATAATAATCGATGGTTAGAGACATTGAATGACATGGCTTAAAACCGTCTGCAATGGCGCCGGTGCATTCATTTGTTGTACTCTCAAATCATAATCCTCTGGATTCTTCAACAACTCTAGTTTTGACTTTCTGAACTTTTCTCATTGAATCACACTTCTTGAATAATATCTTCTAATTCTAACCTCTCCGATTACTTCTAATACCTTTACTACCTCTTCTACTATTGGATTTGAATTGACAATTATATCTCTGTGCTGATAAGGTATCGCAACATGAACTGATGTACTTGCGCATGAAGTTCTACGTTGCATCCGACTGACTGAATCAGTCAATCCTTTGCAATATAGGACTTAAGTAACGTGTTTCAGTCTAAGTTTACCATACTACAATAGTATAGTGGGATAAATTTATTTCATAGCAAATCCCAGAGATAGCAATAGTAAAAGTGTTGATACTAATTAAAAGATTAGTTGTAGGAAATGAAAATGAAAAAGATTCGTGGACTCATGAACCAAATTAGTGATAGATAGTGAGCGCATCCGTACCGATGTAATAGATTCCGAGCCATATCACACAGTTTACAATCACTGATCCTACAGACTACAACTAAGTAGATGGTCAAAAATGCTCATCTTAATGTAGAACCAGACACGCGTAATATATCGCAGTACTAAAGATTCGGTATATAAAAAGAAAATTATTAGCTTTTGGGATTCAGGTTTTAGGAGTGATTACACTTTCGCGATCACACACGACTTCCAGATGTCACCTAGTCTCTAATCACTGGTTAAAATAATCACGTGGAACCCAATCAGGTAGTGTACATCCGTTAACATAGTTATGTCCAATTTTTACACACTTTATAGACCAATGTTACGTCTTAATTTGGCCATCCCTAGATTTTTCTTAACCTACTCCTACACCGGACATCGGCTACTGAGGTAGGTGGTGGTTGAGCATATCGAATACGTCTTAAAGTACTAGGACAATTAACAATAGTAAACACTTCAGAGTATTTCCAACCTCCAAAAGCCCCAGTACGGACGAGATTCAGGAGAGTTCGCTCTTCTCTAAATGCGTTCATGTGGTTACGTGTATATACCTTGTGACAGAAGTCTTATTCACTTCCTTCTTGTGCAGCAGGTGTCATGTTTATAAAATTGAAGAGACAACCGGTGAATGTTCGACCTGGACTTAAACTGGTTTTGTGGAAACGAAGGAATTATCGAGTTGGAAAGCGCTAATCCCAAACCAGTGATGCACATAACCTCAATTGTCCTGACAGAATGAATGGCGTATGAAATTACTGTTGATCACCTTCCACCATCGGAATGCATCTTCTTACGCTGCTCTACTGCCTTGTTGACTAGATCTTTGGGTCAAAGGCTAGAGATGTAACTATACATGTAGATGCCGATTGTTGATCTCAAGTTTGTCAGAACACGTTCCTAACTGATTGAGTAATGGACTCTAACTAAAGTTGGAAACTGTGATTGAAGATAGAAATTAGTCGCGATGGTCCAGTCACATTTACTCTCTACGTTCTCTGAATCCTGCAGTCAGTTCTATTCCTTGCATTCTGTTGTTTAATCTAAATGTTTTTAAAAACCTTATTATGTGTGAATTCCCACTGTAGTTGTTAGTTTTCCCTTCCGTCCTAATCATTTTAAGTTCTTTTTTGATTCCGGTGTCAAAATAAACCGATAGCTACATAAATTAATCCCACGATATGAGAATTAACTCTTTCAATAGGTACTCGGGTATAAGCCAAATTCTAAGTATTACGGTTTATGTTGTCGAAACTAACGAAGATGAAGTGGGCCGTTAACTTAGGAAGATTGGGCCACTGAGATACAGTCAAGTTTCATACAGCTGAACCACTCGATGAGAAGGAAATGCTGAAAATTCAGCCGGGGTTACATAATGCAAACTACCCAGCATAATCGACCATACTGCTGGTTAAAGTAACATTGATGCTGACTTAAGATAAAAGCATGAACTAGATACTTGACTTGTATGGAATCTACAATCTCGCCCACTGAGTTTTATTGACCTAAAAAGGAGCAACTATTGTAAAGTAGGTAGTAATCAATTTACTGTCACAGTTAGATTTGGATATCAGAAACCCTAAATGAATTTCACATGGATGGGCATAACCTAAAAAGTGATGTAATTATGCATTCACTATTCCACACTGAAGTTTCACACGAAATGAGACATCTATCTTACGTAGACCGAAAATATAGACTATTACCACTCATGAGTGCCTATAACCCTTGCTTACGATATGTCCAATAACTCTGGCAATACTTACACGTGAGGTTATGTGGACCATTAGTGTAAACACTTGGCAATAAGTTTATCTCCCAGTTTTTTTTCCCGTTTAAACACGAATGCTAACACATGTGCTTGCAGAAAAACGTTAAATTTACTCAAGAATTCTGATGCTGTTTTTGTTATGCTGTATTTCATAATTATTTCAAGATAATTACCGACCAATTTAAGATCAATTCCAGAAAGATTATTCGATCAAGCTGAAAACTACTTTAGTCACTTATAGACACAAATAATTATACTACAGAAAACATGAAGTCTAGTTTGGAAAAAACACGAACCTCGATATGATCCCATTTGCTGTAGTTAAGGCACGACATCTTCGAGAACAGAAAACAAGGCAGAGCCTGGAAGCTTTTTGAAAAGCCGCTGTATTTACAAGTAACAACAAACAAAACTAACTGTAACGATTACAGCTACAGAAAGCAAAACTTCTACCTATAGCCCTTATTATCGTAATATTGTATTCGGTGAGACTCTGTTTTTAAAATGTAAAGTTATGGTTTGGCGAATTTATGAGAATGTTTCCCAGAGCACGATTCTTGTTCGTCCGGTACGGTTCCAAGTTTTTGGTAGCTGGTGATAAACTAATTTCAATTTTATAAACAGTTCTATAAGCTTTCAGATGGCATTATATGGAATGTTTGCTAATTTTAGCGTCGTTATTAGCCAATCTTTAACTGCAGATATTCGTGCGTTTTTAATACCATGTGATATTTTACTTACTGTGGTTTGTGAATAAAGCCATTCTAAACAGACTGTTGCATATTTCATATTAACTTTCCGAGGAATCTGAAGTCGTCACCAGTTGCAACAATATTGCAAAAAATACCGCTAAATGAATATTTTATCTAAATTATATCCTACTTGCAGCCTGACACATAAATAATGGTAAACTTGTAGTTGCGTAGGAGATAATCAATCTGGAAAAGCAACCTTTCGTAGAGTTTTATCATCCTAAAGACAGTGTGAGAATCATTCAAAATGCTATCGAACACGATGTACTCAATGGAAAGCCCATACCAGGGAAGGAACGATCTTGGGTTATGCTAGCTACAGAGTGTGTTCTTCTGGTTGAAAAAAGAACTTGGAAAGAGTGGAAAGTCTCCCTGAAAATGTTGAACAAGATTATCCTATAGTACTGAAAAAGAGACATGATGCAGAATTTCGATGTGATATTTTCAGTCCAAGTCAAAGTACGAAAAGAACTTCAATATCTGTTTGGGTCCGTGACTAAAAACCCTAAAGCCATGTTGTTCGGGCCCTCAGATTTTCAAATGGCGAAGTTTTCATTATTGTAGAGATGAATGAGATCTTTAACACCAACTTCACCAATCAGATAAACCAGGTACCTACACTTTCACAGTACTCCTCAAACCTCTTGCTAGCTGATGGCCTAGGGCTTTTCAGACTTACGCCTTACTTAGCATTTGGAAAACTCGAATCCATGAGTCCAGGAAAGTCACCAGGATGTGACAGTGTGTGCCCCATATTCTTTAAACCATGTCCGAAAGTAGTCAGCTCATCTTTATGTGACCTGTTCAGGCATCCTCTATAGTCACACCGATTTCCAGCTGAACGAAAAAAACCATTCTTTCTTCAAACTTAAAAGGAGAAGATAAGGAGGATCCAGCCTGTTACAGGCAAGTTGCATCATTACCAATACTTTCAAAGACAGTGCAACGACTAGTCAATACGTAAATGAAGGGTACATGGATGAGAACAACATCTTCCGTCAAACCCAACTCATTTTCAGTTGAGGCATGTCGTTTGCATCCAATATCCTAATAGCACGTGACAGCTGAACAACCTTATGTGATCAGAAAGTACCAGTCCATGTAATTCTTCTTGACCACAAAAAGCCTTAGACACAGTACTCCACATTGGTCAAAGTCATCTCACCACAATATAGGAGTGGACAATGGACAACGGATTAAAAATCAACTAGTCAAAATATCACATCACGAAGACTCGATCCTCAATGTAAGTCCACTCCCTGATGTCTCCTCAGGGTGTAATCTCTGTTTAATAATCACAGGGAGCGAAGACATCAGTTCAAACCAAGTACGCGATGCTGCCAAGGCTAACGAACTCCTCACTTTATGCTAAGGAAACTTAGTACAAACGCTCCGGGGTTAATTAAACTCTTCGGAACATATATGCACAGCCACTCCGAGAAAACCACAATTTTATTGAAAACCCTATCTTTGAAAGAGATACAAATATCCTGGATCGAGACAAGCAATCAAATGCGCGAAAGGGTCCAAAAATCCCGAATGCAACAAACACAGATACACAAAAGTCCCCTAAACTTTGAATTATTCCCTCTGAGTTATAGGACTGTAGGAGGTGATTTTAAGATTGCCTTACTTACTTACTTACTTACTTACTTACTTACTTACTTACTTACTTACTTACTTACTTACTTACTTACTTACTTACTTACTTACTTACTTACCTACTTACTTACTTACTTACTTACTTACTTACTTACTTACTTACTTACTTACTTACTTACTTACTTACTTACTTACGCTTGTTACCCCCAAATGGAACATAGGCCGCCGACCAGTATTCTACAACCTACTTTGTACCGGGCCCCCCTTTCCAGTTATGTTCATTCTTCCCATGTGTCTCCATTTGTCGGCGTGATGTAATCCTTAGTCCCCTTCTTCCCCTCTGACCTTGAGGGGCCCATGTGAGGGCTAGTCTCGAGATGCAGTTGAGTGCTTTCTGCACCATATGGCCTATCATATTCCACCGCTTCTTTCTAACTTCCTCCTCCGCTGGAATCTGGTTTGTTCTTTCCCAGTATTCTTTCTCAGTATTTTGCGTCGAAAACCGTGGTCGGTGGACAACCGATGCTTACGTAATCCAGCCTGTTGATTTCGAAGTTGAGCGTCTACGAAAGTCTTCATTTGTTGAGCTTTCCTGCATCCTGAAGAAAGGCCTTATCGAACATCCGTGATGCCGTCCGCCGGGTTTTCCAGTGCTTTTTGAGTTTCACTTTCGATTTGACGACGAGCGATTGGTGATCTGGGGCTAAATCAGCTTCTCTCTAGGTTCTCACATCCTCCGTGGTAGTTTCAGTTGATGTAGATATGGTAGATTTGGTTCTAAGGAGTGTGATCCGGTGAAATCCTTGTAGCTTTGTTTATGCATTTGTATTAGAATATTGTGCCACTGATGACCATTTTGTTGAAGGCACATAGGTCTGCAAATCTGTGGCCATTCTCGTTTGTTTCTCCTAGTCCATTTGGCCCCATAATGTCTTCATACTCGGTATTGTCCATCCTAACACTGGCATCTCCTGTCAGAATAGTCCAGTCGTTCGATGAGAATCTGTTGACGATTGACTGCAGCCTCTCATGGAACTGATCCTTTACGTCATCATCGTAGTCGTTGGTGGTTGCATGACATTGGATGACGTTCAGTGTAATGCCCTCTTTCTTTGTTTTGAAGGATGCTTTAATGGTCCTTGGTCCATGAAATTCCCATCCTATCCGTGCCTTTTATGCTTGTTTGGACAGCCTCAGTGAAACTCCTTGTGTGTGAGTCATTTCCTTCTTCAACGCACGAGTATAACAGCAGCTCTGTTAAAGTTAATCTTAGTTTTCATACTCGTGTCCAATGTGTTTCACTGATTCCAAGAATTTCCATGTTGTATTTTTTCATCTCTGCAGTAATTCAGAACAGTGTTCTGGTTTCCCACATTGTTCAAACACTCCATTTACCTAAGATAATGGTTGCTCTGGTTGTGAGAAGGGACATCGGCCTTGTTACTTCCGGAGGAACTCAGCTTTCACCATGAGACGTCATAACTCTTCTGAATGAACACATTCTAACTCCCAGAGAAGAGTCAAAACTGTTTGAATTATGTTTTCTGGTGAGCGATATTTTAGTGGGTTATTTTTCTGTGGCATAGGGTCGCTAACCCAATGCCCGATCCTCCTCCATTTTGAGGGCTCGGGACTGGCAATAGCCCCAGAGGTTGGCCAGGTAGAGTTCAAAAATGCCTAAAAATACTTTAATTACTCCGAATCACTCTAATGCAGAAACCCTACCAGTACATAACCACCACACCCATCGATGTTATTACGGACAAATCTCACTTCAAAGAGCAATTACACATATATTATTTGTCATTAGAATATATCTGAACCAGATCCAGTGACAACTGCCACCTTAGTAGATAGCTTCCACAAAAACTTGGCAAACATGTACTCACATATTAATTAAGGGCTCCCTCTCGGAACAGCTTTCCAATGCATATATTTAAACTTGTGTCTTCCTATTAATCTATTCCATCTCGCTTATTTCTTCGTTTCATCTCTTTTCCTTTGTAGCTGCCATGGAAAAATATAAAGGACTATTATGAGTAAAAACTAAAAGACGTTTAGAAAAAATATCCTAGTTGTCAATTTAGACAGAATTTTAACACTTCATTTTTCTTTGGTCGCTTTGAAATACCTGCAGCCAAGTTTTTTGTTTGTTGATATCTGACCTGTGCAGAACTAATAGATCGTGCACTTATGTGAAATTAAAATTTTCTAGCTCTTTGATCTGTTAAAATAGCACAGCGAAGTTTTACTCAACGCACTTCGAACTGGACCTTTTGTTCCTGTCTTATTCAAGTTCTAGACTTACTAGGATTGCTAGAATCGTGTTTGATCCTTTCAAATCTACGACGAGTATTAAGGTACGAATGAAATCGAATAGTCTATCAACACATCACACTGGTATGGTCTGGATGCTTTGTGTTCGCCATAAAATCTATAAATTCCAGGAGAAATTTATACTCCCCATTTAATGATATCCATTCAAAACATTAATGATGAAGACGCTCGCACTACTAACCAGTAGTGGCTTATTACTGAGACAATTAATATTGCATTCCCGAAATAAGAGAAGTGAAAGTTCTTCCCTCATTTGGTAAGATCTGTGCTCAGATTGATCAGCCTTAAACCACGGTGACATTTCTCCTCGCGCTTATTCTTCTTCTGATGTAAATGTCATTGAAAAACCATACAAGTTTCAGTTTTAACCTACCTAGGATATCTTATAGATGCTAAGAATTTTATGGTATGAAAAAGAATACTTTGGCGGAAATATGTTCAGAAAGGTCTGGGCTGTGAGAGTAATACTCTTCAAGCTCATATACTGATGCAAGATTCGGTAGTAGATTACTGCTAAGTGTGAGATCTATTCTGACGGACAAGTCCCCAAAACACAGCCGGATACATTTTTCAGTTCTAAGCTCAATGTTTGCATCAGTTATCTACACCACACCGGATTGTCTATGTACTACTTCCAAACCCAAATTTCTTAGTTTTGCAGATCACTTCTAGGTCATCAGCGTAGAGACAGCTTCTACGTGTGCTGA